TTTAAAATTTTAAAATTTTCGTGGATGTCCGTATTTTGTATGTAGAATAAAATAATGGGGTACCCAATGATGTTAATATTTTAGGGACCACCCTAGTACTCGTACTAATGTACATATGTACGTACATGAAAAATAAATAGTGTGCGTGCGGAATATGGTTTATAAAGCATTTTTTTTGCTATTCGCTTAGTTTTATAAATTTAAGTTATGTATGAATGCATATAGTTAGTGCATATGTATTTGCACATAGTGCATACATATTTCTGAAACAAGCATTAGAAGCCAATTAAATTTTGTATTTGTTAGATCATGCTTAGTGCTTTATATGCACTAAATAGTTTCAATAAAATACAATGTCCAATAAAATATTTTTGCTATGATTAAAATTCACATCAAAGGGCTTCTTGCACACCTTTTTTCTTTGCTTAAATTTTTTTTCTAATTACTTACACATTTGCACAGTGTGCAACAGTCGAAAGTCCAGTTCGTTCTTTGGGAGATAAATATGTATATATGTAAATGAATCTTAGCAATTAAATATACATACATATATAGCTTTTTGGTTTTCAAGAATTGTATCTACATATGTACATACATATGTATGTATGTACATTAGACTGCATCACCCAAAAAAGTTGCGGTTTTTCCGACGGGATTACAAAATCTATTATATCGGAAAAATATTAAGAATTACGTAAGCTGGACCGATTTGAAAATACCTCCAAAAATGGAGTTTTTTATGAATAAAAATAGCTTCTTAAAGATTCTTTTTTTTGAAAAAATCTCCTCAAATGACAAAACGGTTTAAGCTTAAAAAATTTGAAAAAAAATATTTTTAAAAAATTTAAAAAAATTTTGAACGGATTTATTTTTTGTATGGGGAGTGATGCAGTCTAATGTACATATATTGGGGCTGAGAGATTGTGACGCAAATAATGCTGGACTGCCACACTTAACAATTTGTTCCAAGAGTAATCTATTAGCCAATACATAACGGGTGATTTTTTTGAGGTTAGGATTTTCATGCATTAGTATTTGACAGATCACGTGGGATTTCAGACATGGTGTCAAAGAGAAAGATGCTCAGTATGCTTTGACATTTCATCATGAATAGACTTACTAACGAGCAACGCTTGCAAATCATTGAATTTTATTACCAAAATCAGTGTTCGGTTCGAAATGTGTTGAATGTGTGAAAAGTTGGCAGAAAATCCGCTTTTTTATCGACAAATTTTGTTCAG